ATATTTTTTATCCGAGTTGGAAATAAATCGATTATTGTTTCAAATCTCTGATATCTATGAAACGCGATTGATTTGAATTGTGTAATTTTCAGGAAAGTCCTGTGATCTTTTTAATTTTAGTTAGTCTTAACTTATCAAAATATGCCTTTTACGACTTTAACATTTTGTTTTCAGAATTAAATGATGTCATAGACTATAAATTACTCATTAACAAAGAACAAATTGGTCTTATTTTTACATTTGAGGTTTTAACTTAGGTCATATGATCACGTTAATTCAGCACATGTCCAACCATTTGACTTACATGTATTCCAATGTCTTAAAACTAGAATAAAAAAATCTCTCTTAAGAAAAAAGATGGAAAAACCTCTTGCATATTGATTTACAAAGTATATGCAATGCGTCACGAGACATTTGTACCAATTAAATTCGGCATCTGCATAATAAAGAATTATTACAATAAATAATCACCCATGCTTTTCTATTGATTTTTCCCAATATTTTTTTCCCCAAAATTGTCATTATTAGAGATATAAACCTTAAGGTATCCGATCCATAAAAGGACATAATTTTCTAACCTTAAATATCCATCCTGTATTAAATACTCTGAAACTAATTCAAAACAGTTTAGAGTAGAAAAGGATTTACCAGGAGAAATTTTCAAAATTTATCCGAGGAGTAATTACTTGATTAAAATGCATTGAAGTCTATGGGAAAAAGCATATTTTTAAAAACAAAATTTTAAACAGTATGAATATAAAAAAAAAAGAAAAAAAAGAAAAAGATATAAATGCTTTGATGGAAAGATACATATTATTATTAAGAATAGAAAAACGATTAAAAAGATAATTTTTCACCAGATGGCTTTTATAAAAAGTAAATTTTATTGATTAAAAGGAAAGGGGGATATCTCTTCAAGGACGGATCAAGGTAAAAAATTAGGACACTTTCCTTTCTTACATAATGAGATTAAAGCACGAAGATTATGTTTACATATTCTGAGTATTCACCCAATTGATATAAATCTGTTCAAATTCATTGAATCTGAGGCTATTATGGATCGGATACCTTAATATGATTTGGTCTTTCCGAAAAAAAAAAACAAAGAACTTTATTTGGTAATAACCAATATTTGCCCCCCAAAATCAAACTTTGACGGAGATATATTTAATTAAGTTCTTAAACAGGGGAGTATATGCTGACTTCAAAGCACTGAATATTTTCATAAGTAAGGACGCCATATGTACGTAATGACGTAACAAACATGACGTAAATTTCAGTTTTTTATGAATTTTACAGAAAAATGCACATATTTCGCGATATTTTGAGTAAAAAATGTGTGTTCAGGATCAATATTTTGATATAATGTGTAGAATGATAATATCAATGAAATATGTCAATATTGTTCCTGAACAAACTTGCACTCTATAAATTTTAAAGCTAAAATTGTTGAAATTTTGTCCATTTTGTCCTCTTTCTGAAAAAGGATATAAAATCCGACTAGTTTGTGATGTCATAAAAACAAGAATTGTGAATACACTGCTTTGACACTATAATATTTTCTGTTAATTTATATTTCTCATACAATTTATTAAATTCTGCACATTTCAGAAAGTTTTCAAAATTTGACTTTTGTGGGGGCAAATATATGCAATATACCGCATATAGTTCTTTGCCTCATTTAGTTACAAAACATTTTATTTAAGTGAAATAGTTTAAAGTTGCAAATATTGCATTTTAGTGTAATTTGTTTATCTACAGAATGAGAAACACGCTAGATATGAAGCTATCTTCCTTAGAAAAGAGAATCAAACTTTTTTCCTTTTTAAAAATGCAGCATTTATTTATGTCGAGTAACAGAACATTTTTTTTTTCGTCAACAATGAAATTTAACGAGGAAATTTCGGTCAATGATTTATATCCTGAAATGTGGAATAATTGATGATAATGAGTGATTGTTCCAAAAAAAAAAAAACTTAACTAAAGTTTTCTTCATTGCTAAAGGTATATTTACTTAGATATATATATACTAGATAAACTAATGTGGTATATTCTTTAGAAAAAAAAAACATTAAAAACAATGCTTAGATAACAAGTCGTAATTAATTCCCCAAATGTTGAAACAATATACTCATTAGGAAGGGAGTATATAAAACACAAACCTGTTGAAGCACATGAGAAAGACCGTGCATTATTCGGTAAATAAATAAAAAAAAAATTGCCAAATACTTGACACGAAACCGTATATTTATTCGTTGGAATTTCAATTAGCAAAAAGTGTGCTCCTTTATCAACCGACCTGCTTTAATATTCCTATGGAAAAGAATTCATTCAAACACTTTTACTTAGAACATAATTCTCTTGTGGCATTCAACTGTACGTTCTTATATTTCAATGACGTTTGATAAATTAACAATAATTACATTCATCTATGTGTCGACTCAATAATTTCCAGTAAAATTGAAATAATAATCTCTCCAAACTTTGCCTCATCTTTATCAGATTTGGATTATTTAATGACTGTAGAAGACATGGAAAAACTTACAAGAATTACTTAAGTGCATGACAAACGACATCATTTAGATTTTCCATCGTCAATTTTTTTTTGTATATATGTAATACGTACTAGTAATCTTCCTCACAAACCTGCATGCATGTCTATATTACGTCTACTAAATCTGTTTGCTACTCAAGAGCATGTATTCTGAGTACGAACAATTTTGATAGGGTAACTGACAAATAAATTAAAACAAATGACTTTAAACTTCCATATTTAATTTTAACATCTTGTGAATTCTACGGATGTGATAATAATTGTGTGTGCCCTGTCGGCAGCGGACGATAATTACTCCTGCAAGTCACCTGAAATTTACTCTGGAATTTCTGGATTGGAGTAAATGGTTTTTGTTACATATTGCCTTATTCAGAAATTTGTATTGTTTGTAGATTTTATTAGCTTAATTTCTATTCGTTATCTTCACCTTTCTTTAAAGTTCGACTCAGTGATTCATGTTTTATTTTTGGCAAACATAACACCCATAAAATTTGCATAAAAGATTACTTTGTTAATTATATGCGGTATTAACCAAATAAATACATTTGCCTCCCAAAAAATCAAACTTTGATGGAGTAATATTTAATTAAGTCCTTAAAAAGGGGAGATATATGCTGAAGAAATTCAACCAACATTTCAAAGCACTGAATAATTTCATAAGTAATGACGTCTTATATTAACTGATTAACGTAATGATTTCTTACACAAATATGACACTTGGTGCTTAAATTTCAGTTTTTTAATGAATTTGGAAAACAGGCTTTGAAAAATGTACAAATTTCGAAAACGATATTTTAAATAAAAAGTCACCGATCCAAAAATAAAACATGTGTGTTCAGGATAAATATTTTGATATAATGTGTAGAAATGATAATATCAATGAAATATGTCAATATTGTTCCTGTCAACACACAGTGGCTCTTGCTCTTTGTATAAAATTTTAAATTTTGATTTTAAATTGTTGAAATTTTGTCGTAACATTTTGTCCTCTTACACCATAAAAAGGATATAAAATAAATACAGTTATTTATTTGACAGTTGATATAATTGTGACATCATAAAAACAGAAATTGTAAATACACTGCTCAAATTGGAACTATAATATTTTCTGTTAACTTATATTTCTCGTACAATTTATTGAATTCAGCACATTTCAGGAAGTTTTCAAAATTTGACTTTTGTGGGGGCAAACATATGCAATATACCGCATATAGTTCTTTGCTGAGATTAGGAGAAAGGAGATTATTTACTTTGTTAATTGCATCTTATTTCAAGTATATGTAGCCAACCCAAATAAATATCCAATTTAGTATAAACAAAATCAGAACAGAACAGAACAAACACAGATACCTGAAAACATATCAGGTTTTGGGGTCAGGTGTCAGGGAGAAAAAAGCGACCCTTGTCAACTGGACACGAGTCAAACGACCAAACTGAGACTTTTGTCTTGATAGGGTACCGGTAAAATTAGTAACGAAGATAATAGTTATTCAGTATGAAGATATATTTGCTAAATAATAAGATAAGTGAAGAAATTCAACCAACATTGGACCTAACGACATAACGACAAGCTGTAATTATAAACAAGAAAGAGCTAGGTTCACTTTATGCATAAAATGGCCCTGTACTTATATTAATTGATTAACTATTAACCTCTTTCTCATTTCATACATCAAAATAAAGTAGACATTTGGTGCTTTAATTTCCTGTAATAAAATTATTTCTTTTTGAGAATCCAGATATTGGAAAACAGGCTTTGAAAGTTGGAATGTTCTTGAAATTTGCAGAAAACATGCATATTAGACTACCTCCAGCAAAGAATTAAAATATGAGTACAGCCCACGATCCAAAAATAAAACATGTTTTTTGATCTTCAGAAACAGATCATTCATTATGTATTTGCATATTCTGGATAAGAGGTTGTGTTCTATTTGAAATATTGAAAAAAAACTTCAAGTTATTTTCAAAGGAATTTACAGGACATGAGGAAAATAACGCATTTTATGACGTCATAATGTATTCACTAGAGGGAAAATTACGTCATGATTAATAGATACGTGGACACTAACACTCCAAGTGATAAATACTGCATTTGCAACAGAAACAGAGCGGTTTTTGATTTTTCAGAAATTCTCAGGGCCAAATAAGGCACGAGGTGGCTCTTGCTCTTTGTATAAAATTGTCTAAATTTTGATTTTAAACCTTATTTTTTGATACCTTTTTTATGACATAAGCTCGCCTTGATTTACAATTTAAACGTAACGTTATAGCATGCAGAACAGTCTCGTACATAAGTACATGTATACCTCGTACACCATAAAAAGAAGATACGTGCAGAGACAGCACATAAATACAGTTATTTATTTGACAGTTGATATAATTGACTACATAATAGGTATCTGGTTTTATAACATAAGTTATTTTTTATGTGTCTTTGTGTTGAGCGATGGTGTAGGTAAGGTAGCGCCGCGTCAAATTGCAAGAACATTATTACATAATGCAATCATCTCCTGTTACAGTTTATACTTAGTATTTTTAGCACCGGTTAATTTTATACATTGCATTAAATAACAAGTATATCATTTAAAGTTGATCAGCTAAGTGGTTTGTAAAATACTTTATAATCTATACAGTTTGAGACCATTTTAAGGAGGGCATGTTTCGTTTTCTAACAAGAATCAAATTAATAAAAATAAGACACTTAAAACCAGAGCGATAGGTCGAGTCGCACCCCACTCTGGATCTGAAACGAGTATTCTAATAAGTTGTGGCATGACCTTTATTAAGATCTCACTATAGCTAACTTACATGTACGTTAAGGTACATACATACATCGCTCAAGCAATCAGATGATTCTTTTGTAGAAAGTTGATAAAAATTAGTTGTTACTGAAATACTGAGAAAGGTAGACATGCAGGAATTTATCAATTTATATTAATGTATAATTATGTAATGTTTTCTGATACATGTATAATGTTTTTCCTAGCTGTACATTATGAGGATCACGCGCATTTTTGAAGACTGATAATGAACCTACCCTCAAAGAAACATTTGTGAACTTCCCACAACTTTTTCTTTCTTCAGTTTTTGATCCGCTTTTGGTAACCTTACGTTGTAAAATCTTAGAATTCTACCCTAAATTGACCTCAAATTTTGATTAAACACTAACAGCTTTTTATGCAATTTTAATGATTATACTGTAGTTTTATTTCATTTAAGATAGGAATACAGTTTCCCGTCATTCCTAAATAAATGTGTCGCCAATATATTGTATACTAGAAGTTGTTGTACTGTTTCTGCTCAGATGTACAATCTTAACAAAAAAAAAAAAAAAAAAAAAAAAAAAACAAAACAAAACAAAACCAAACAAAAAACCCCAACCCCCCCCCCCCCCAAAAAAAAACAAACAAGAAAAAACCCACCTAATTCTAACTTTTATTAGCTGTAGTTAACTATAGTATCACTTTTTTTTTTTTTACATTTATAGTAGTAATAAGAGTAAGTAGTAATAAGAGTTTTCACAATATTTTCCATAGTATTTTTACTATGGGTTTCAGATAGTTATATTTTTTGTTCTCAACTGATTCATGCATGACCATTTTTGTATTAGGTAGAACTTTCAAATTTTATATTCATATAATATTTTCAAATTTCTCAAATTTTACATCACTGTGATAGAATTTAAGAGATTTTATTTTTAAACTTTGAAATCTTGAATAGATATTTTTATTATACCGAAGTTTTTTACTTTAGTTAACTTACGTATACGATAGTAAAAACTTCAGTAAATTTTGTTAGGGAAGAAGATATCACAAAACGTGTTTTGTATCGCTGTTATTGTACGGTTCACTTCAACGGAAAGCTCGCTGGGAAATGTCTCAATTACGAAGGGGTTATTAAAAATCATGTGAACTGATGCAATGGAACTATATCTTATGTACTTACAAAATAAAAAAAAATTGACTTTAAAAGATTTCAAAGAAATATTTAAATCATGAAAAAAACTAAAACTCAGAGTAAGCATGTATTTTATAAAATAAGCAAAAATTGTAAACTAATCACAGTTTGATAACTTTCCTGTTTCTTTTCATTGTTACCCTTTCTTTTTTTTTTAAAAAAGTTGTTTTTTTTTTTTGCATTTCAAAGTTCCTTGATAAAGTTTAATTTTGAATTTCTGACAAACTTGATTAGTATGGCTTTTCTTCAACTTACTTTGGTAGATATTTATCGTTTATTCCATATTTACAAAGACGACCTTCCTACCAGAGATTGGGTCACCTGACATCACATGTTTCCCTTGCACGACAGCTAAAGGTCTCTAAATCACATTTCTTATTAACATTTAATATGCTAATGATAGGATGAAACCAAGATTATTCGAAAAGAAGTTAATCTGTTTAAGGATATTTATAACCAGCTTGATTTATCTTCGGCTTTCACATTTTTTACCACCTAATAATAAAAGGATTTATTACGCTTTTAACTGTAAATAACATATCGTTATTTATCAATTGAATGGAATTTATGGTTTTCAAAGACATTAATTTTTTTTTAAATATGGACTATCAATCTAAATGCATCATTAAAAAAAAAAACAAAAACAAAATTAGGGTAAATTTCATATTTTGTGGCATTAAATACAAAAACTATTTTAAATAACGTTAACCCTGCTCTGCTTTTGATATTCTTTTCTCGGCAACTATTAAAAATAGCACATCATTTATTTGTTCAAATTTCTATTTGGTGGGCAATATAAGAAATACATCTAAACCTGCTAATCAAATTACACGATTATCACTTCAAGTAAAGTTGTGAAAAAGTTTTGAGAAACACCTCTCCCCTAATATCTCTTTCATTTTCATCCTTCTAATCCGACCTATTTATTTTCTGGAGGTCCGTTTCCTATGCCGATTGTTCGTAAAACGTTCTTTCTTTGTTATATTATTTATGATACTGATAGAGGCTAATTATTATAGATTTGATTATCTTTGTCAGTTTTTTTTTTGTCTCAGACAAATGATTAGTTTGTTATTAAACCAAAATATATAAATTTTCTTTATTAAACTTTTATAAAGTCTTATTTTTTAATTTACACACCCATATACACTAAACCCAATTCTATTTTTTACAAAAGGAAATTAAAAACATCTCCACATTCATTGCCTTAGAAAATATAGGAGGAAACCACTGCATAATATAGAGTATGATCATAAATCATGTAATGAGATACATGTATGTCAATACTGATTTTCATTATGACAATTCTTATTGAAACCTCGACAAGAAAATAAATAAACCCAACAAAAACGTAATTATTGCGCTCCTCAAATTACTCAATTCTTTATTATTCCTTCAAAATGCACAGAAACAACTTGATGTTGGCAAAATTAATTCTAAATAATATACCTACATGTTTATTAATAAATGTTTAAAAAAGTAAAATCTTCAAATTTATAAAAACTGGTTCAGATACCTGTTTTTCAGAGATTTAATTTACATATGTGTCTGACGTTTTCACAGAGCTATAACCTTCGAGAAAGTGAATTCTCCAGCAAAAAATCAGTCAGCCTTTCCCTCTTTATCAAACTGCGCGTTTACTGAACGACTCTCATTATTGGAAGCGTACCAACCAGAAAACACTTATAAATATTGCTTCACAAAAGTAAGCATATTTATAATAACCCGGAATAAAATACTATTATAATATTATATCGTTTGATATAAAGGAATTTTGAAGGACTGCGTGGTTGCATCATACCTACCAGATATGGTTTGTACTTTTAGAAGTAAAATATTTATTACAAGAATTTAATTTTTGTTTATGAAATTGACAATGTATTGATTTAAAATTATTCAATACATGATTTTAATAATTATTTCTTTCTTTAAAAAAATTATACTGTTTCGGAAAATGTTCCTTAGTTTATAAAATTTATAATTGAAATAATCTAGTTTAGCAAAAAAGATTCTTAAAAATAAATTTCATTGATTTTTTTTTTCATTTGATCCTTTGAAGAATTAATTAAGGGAAGAGAGCAAATTATATACATTGACAAAATTACACATCCGACTTTCAAAATTATTGAATCTGATGACATTTTTACTTCCATTGCAAAAATATAATCTATATGGGAATTTTTAATTTGTTTAAGCTTTACAGAAGAAAACAAATGATAACTCTGAGAATATTAAATTGTTTGAAGAGTGGATGGCTTCCTGATTATGAACAAAGACAAAATCTTAATTCAAAATTTCAATTTTAAAATAATTTGGAAATAGTAACACAAAATGCATTTTGTATCTACACTTACATATAGATTATTATTATGTACTATAAATCACCTATTTACATCAAATTTAATTTGTCGAATAAAAAAATCAATTGTATATCATTTAATTTCTTTAAAGAAAAAGAAGGCTGGAATGCAAACTTGTCATTGAGCTTCAGAATATAATTACAATGTATTTGAAATTGTTGAATTCATTGACTGTAACTTGAAGGCTTCAATAGAAGATGTTTCATTCAGATAAGCGCTGTAGTATTTTAATGTATACAGTACTTGTCAGGAATACATTGCCTGCCACGTTACGCACTCTCATTACTAAGAATGGTATTTCAGTAAAGAGTACATTAACTGTCCTGTCTCACATGACTCCAGAAAATGAAAGACCACTTTTAGAAAATTAATTTGTCTTGTAGTCTTGAAGGCTTTTGTTTTGCTCTTAAAATTTTAATTTCACTTGAATATAACTTAAAGGTTCTTTTGTTTGCAATTCTATGAACTAAATTGTCTACAAAATCTTTTTTTTTTAGTTAAACTAGCACATAATGATATATTTCTCCTTTTTATAATATAAAATATCCTTTTTCACAAATAATTGCTTTAAATAGGAAAATAATAATTAACTATGAAATTTGAATACATTAAAAAAAAAATACATGTACTAACATTAGTATATCTTCGTTCTCTAAACTCCAAACACAATAACAAATTAAAAAAAAATAAATTCAATTCAATACTACATTGTGAACATAGCTATTTAGAGAGATTATCTGATATTCTTATTGATAGTTTTCTATTCAAATCGATTGATAATTGAAATCTTGCCTGCTTGACTTTACTAGAGGAATGAGTGCTAATTACTTTTAAATTTTGTAAATGAAAAGTTCTTTTAGTGCATATTTTTTTCATATTTTAATTTGATAATAAAATTGAGTTTCAGACAAAAACTGCATTTTACACGGAAAATTATTAGGAAGTCTTAGGAATCAACATTCAAAGCAAATTCCTTAATGTAAAAAAGCTGAAGTTCGTATTTGAATGGGAAAAAAGATCTTGAGGATAAGAATATACACTGTTTGTGTTATTCCATTCCGTCAAAAAGTTACTAATTAAAAAAATGATTTGCATTCTTACAGTTTTATCATTGTTAAGGATTTTTTTTATGAACGGTATACTTTGATTTAATGTTATTGATATTGACAGGAAAACCAAAACAATGGTCTGGAGTCGGCACAGAAAAATCCAGTAAAAATTAATGGAAGTAAAGTGACCAAAAGAAAAAATAAATTTAATGGAGGTAGGTACATATTGCTAGAACATAAGGTATAAAACGAATAAAATATTTAGAAATCATATTATTTTGAAATGATAAAAATGAATAGAATATTTATTGCAAAGGAAAAAAAGAAGAAAAGGAGATATTCCTAAATATTATTAAAGATTTTCTTTTGCAGATTTCTTTGTCCTTTAAGTAAGATACTATTACCAGCTATTTTTTTTAACAATAATAATTTTCGTGGTCAAAAACCAAACTTAAATCACATTAAACAAAAACACAAGAAAAAAAAGACAATTCGAGAAAAAAATGAAAGCTAGCTTTATATTTCTTTTTATGGTTTTTAAATTTATTTCCAGTCACATATAATGTTTTCATTCTAGGATTTCGTATCTACAGGAGAAACAAGACGAACCTTCCTCATAGAGTTCCAAGACTTTGGAAAGGAAATTCTAAGTAAGTCCATTGCTTTATTCACAATGCGAATAAAAAATTATTATGAAAAGGCAAATCTTAAATGCAAAATCGAACCAACGTGTTTGACAAAAAATATATCAAATAATAATCTTAGGTTAACCTTTAATTTAAAGTTAATGTAATTCGCTTCAAAATGAAAACGGTGAAAATTTTACTGTCAGTGAATGAAAAAAAATCACAAAAAGAGATATGCTTGTCTTATCATGCAATCTTCCTTTTTGTAATATACATAATAAACGTAAATTATTTATAAAACTCTTATTCATTTTTGGTATCAGTTATAAATGATAAAGAAGATCTTCTGTCTCAATAAATTAAACTGCATTTAAGATCCTCTTATAAGATCGATCTTTTTTGAATCTCTAATCCGATTCCAGGATGATTAATTTTCTGTGTGTAAATTGAAAAAAAACAAGGCCATTTTGGTTTCTTATCCTTTCCGTTTGCATGGTACTGACTTCATACTAGACATCATGTGAGATTTCGTACAAAGTCAAGGTTATTAGCATTTGGATTAATTGTAAAAAGAAGTACATGTATGATGTTAAGGAAGGCCAAATTTGTCAGATATGCAGTAACACACGTATTTCGCCATAATGATCGATTTGATTTTGTCTTTATTCTCCCCCGACTATCTTTCGTATTTATGAGGTTGATCCACATTTGCTATCTTCACCTTAACTTTTTATTCATTTTAGGAGTTTTCTTGACAATGTCAATTATTTTTTACTACCAGGATATGTTGTTTATTGCTTTTCCTAGAGACATACATGTACATTCATAGAAGTTTCAAAAAACCTCGATGTTTTTGTGGGAATAAATCTGGAAATTTTTGGTCTTCTAAAACATGAATTCTATGTGCTTTTTTTTCAAAATATGAATTCAAATGGACAACCTTTCTCTCTTTTTTTTGTCAAATATTCATTAATCAGTAGGTCGAAGAAGCAAGAATACAGAGAATTTTAAGTGATAATTCTATTAAGGCTGTGCTATTGTGATATCTCCATACAGGTACAACAAACACGCTTTCCTTTTCAAAATCTCTTTATTTATATCATAGGTTCTCAAAAACGAGTAAAAAGACACATACAAAACGATTGATTGGGCCTCAGAAGATGATGAGACACAATAGTTCTGTATTTCTACGTGTGCTTAGAAGCCATATCGAGTTGGAAACAATTTTTCGACTGATGGATATCAAACTTCAGGTAACATGAATATGTCTTATCTAATATCTTAAATTAATTTTTATGATAAAGTCATTACACTAATTTTTGTTTTGTATTTAAAATTTTTTTTAGAAAGACACATGTATTTTCTTTCACAGAGATAACAAAAATTGTGTGGAGGGGAATCTATTTCATTTTTTGCTAAAGTTAATAATTTTAAATTGTAATAATAAAATATAAAGATGTATCCCTGCTCCTTTCGAGTTATGTTATGTTATTCCTCTGAAGTACTTATAAATATATTCCCGTTAAAACTTCTCTTTTTGACGTCAAACACACGTAGATTTTACGTCATAGATATCTTTGTATAAAGATGCAAGGTTGTTGATAATTCGAAATACAGGGAAAATCAATTCGTACGAGAAGGGAAAATAACTTTTCTGTTTGTTTGTTTGTTTAACGTACTTTCGATAGCTTTTCACTCTTATTGAGACGCAACAACATTTCCGTCGAGGACTGAATATTTAGATTAGCACTCTATTTTTAGACGTCGGTCCTTTGAGCAGTGGGGAATCTTTCTCATTCAAGCAACTTCTGCGACATGGGACCTCAGTTTATACTGTCTCTTTCGTAGAAACAGTCCAGCATGTTAAACAGTGATATTCAAATTCAAAACCAGCGACGAATGAATCAACTCCATACTTTGGAGTTTAAACGACTTCGCTACGCAAGCGACATCTTCTGGAATAAAACAGTTATTGACTAAATTACCATTAGGTCATGAAGTGTCACTTTTGTTGTTTGATTTCACAATTAAAAAAAGAACAATTTTCAAATCAAAAGTATCTTTAGAATAGTGATGACACGTTCGCTTTGAGATCGAGAGATCTAATAAAAGACGAAAAAGAGACCGAGAGGTCTGGATTCGATTCTCCTTCACCACACCCTGTCAATTTAAAGAGGTATACAAAGGTAGAGACTTTCTATGCCGAACCCCAGCATTAGCATGAAAAATAACAAGCTTTACGAATGAGATCCTCGCTCTTTGATCGGGAGGTCGTGAGTTGAAATCTCGGCCGCAACTGACCTATAGTCTATAAAAAATTGGTAGCAACTGTTCCTTCGCCATGCGCTCGGCACTTGAAGTGAAAGTTGCGGGTCCTTCGGATGAGACTTTAAAAACCGATATCCCGTGTTACGGCAGGCGTTGGCACGATAAAGACCCCTCACTGCTCAATGGCTCTGAGTGCTGTGTAAAGGTCAAAATTTGAAGCCCTTCACCGGTAAATGGTGACGTTTCTATATGAGTGAAAAATTCTCAAAAGTGACGTAAAACAACAAACAATCAATCGATCAATCGAATGAGATAAATATAACCGAGGTCTAGACAGGGTATGCGTTGGCTGTTTAGGTCTCACAATTTGAAGTCCTTCATCGGTATATAGTGACGTCTCTTTATATTTGAAGCCCTTCACTGGTATACGGTGACTCCTCTCTAAATGAGTGAAAAATATACGCGAATGGGAAGTAAAAAAAAATATATCTATCATTCAGTCAATCAATCAAAGTGAAATAAATCGATATCCATTCTTCATGTACTTTTGCAATTTTTTCATTTTTTTTAACAGGTATTGGAGTTAAAACTTAAAGCCTATGCAATGAGGAAATATTTTATAAAATCCATGGACAAAGGATATGTACGAATGGACTCTCTCTTCGAATATGGAAATTTGTAGACGATTGACAATTTACAATTTTTTTTAAAAATAAATTTATAATTTTTTTTCTTTTTTGGGATCTGCTAATATTTTGGATCATAATTTTATTTGCGGATAAAAACATCTTTGTCAGAATATGTATAAATTATTAAATGTAAAAATTCAATATATTTTATTCATATCAACAGGTCTCTTTACCAATATACTTCTGTGTGAAGCAAGAGCTTTAGAAAAAAAAAATCTTTTTTTAAAATGAAAAAAGATAAAGATGAAGTTAAATGGTATCTGATAAATGCAATTTCAAACCCCTTTTGGCTCAGAGGATTAAATTAAAAACTGAAAAAAACTGTTTTTCACGTTCAAGGAACCTCAGTCATTTGCAAAAAATGGAATTGCTACTGTGTTAAATATATGCATTGTCCTAATAAAAAATTGTAAATTAAAAAAAAAGTTAGGTTTATAAAAGATCAAGCAATCTGATGACATAATTTTGATATATACCACCTAGGGCAGTTTAATTCTCACCCGTAAGTTGAAAATGAAAACTAATGTCTCCCCCGCAAACCTATGGCAACTGCCTTCATCAAAGATATTAAAAATGTTTTTTAATTTGAAATACCTCTATATTTTCATAATCATTCTTAAAAATGAATAAAAAGGAAATTATTTTGACACTTTCAAGTTCTGAAATACGTATTTTGTTTACTATATATTTTTGTACCATACATATCTCACCGAAATTCTGATTTTATGATGGTTTCTGCTATATGTGTTTCTTTCTATTATTACCTATTGTGTTTAAGTGTGTTTGGTACTGTCAATTATGTATACATGTGTACTATGTGTTGACATATTTTATTTGCTTTGTCATTTATTTATTCTAATGTGTGTTTCTGCAAGACATTTAGCTTAAATCTGTACTTTAACGGTAGTTTGATTTTGCAACGGGCGCTAAAAGAATATTCAGCCAGAAATAATACCATCGTATTCAAAAACTTAAATCGCTAAATTTTAGCAAACACACGTGAACTTCATTTTTGAAAAATTGAATGTTAGTAACATTCTTATTGATAAAAAAAAGGGAGTGGTCTACACCTTCCATTTTCTAAAGATATTCCCAACTATTCCTAGTGTTCCATTACGGAAGCCCTGGGGGAACATGAACTTACTTTTTATATGACTTATTTATTTAAGGAATGTTTTTAAGTTTTGTGTGTTTTATTGGTATGTGAATCACACAGACGTGTCACGTAGGCATTTTTCAAAAAGCGCGCTAGCGCTTGATGAAAATATGCCTAAGTGCAAGCCTGTGTGATTCACACACCAATAATTCACACTAAACTTAAAAACATTCCTTATATTTACATTTTCCATGTTTTAAAGCATCAAACATATACTCAGTATTTGAATTTCTCGCTGCCCTATTTTGTTGTATTTTTCTAACTTCTCTGTATCTTCAATGTGATGTCACGTTAGCGCACGTTTCTCCGTGAGAGTACACACCAAAATGGTATTCAAATCAATTTCACTGTTAGCTTACTAGAAAAACACGGTAAATGTAAATATTAAGAATTATTTGTTGTGACTTATTTGTTTGACTCATTTATTACGATTTTTTGTTGCTAATAAAAACTACGTTTAACGAGCTATGGAGAACCTGTTCGCTTGGTTTATGTTTATAATTAAAATGCTTATAGTTTAGTCCTTGTTAACTGTGTTTTTTGGTTGATTTATTGTGTTGTTCAATTTGCAGTACAGATGTGACTACTAAATTCGTATCTGTTGATATCTTGAAGAGCTTTTTCTGAGTAACTTAATTTTTTACTTCTTAATTCTTATTTTTTATTTCTTGATACTTAATAGTTACTAGTTAATTCTTATTTGTAATTTTTATTTTTCATACTCATTGAACACATTAACATAACTACTTTGTTAATCTTGTCTATAGTAATAAATTTAAAGACAACATGTTACTTTCTTCTTTCTAAAATTACACGTAGCTTTCATCTTTTACGTCACTTTTTAGGGGTGGTGGTGGTTAGTAAACGTGCTACAACAAATTTAAAATAACAAAGGTTAAAAATTAGAACTATGTCATAACAACTAAGCAATAAGTCAATCTCCCTTCAGGACTTCCGTATTCCATTGAAAAAGAACGCTAAATTGGAGAGAGTTGTGTTCATAAGAGGATATAAATATTTTTAATTCGAAAACAACAAAAAGTAAAGTAAGGATTTTTTTTATTATTCTTAACATAATTATATTGTATAATGCGTATATATTACAGTTATTACTTATGAACCTTAGAAAAATAATTTGGATAATTATGCTGAGATCAAAATGTCTTTCAACAAAATACAGAAAAAGAACAGACAAAATAAATGGAGAAGAAAGGCCTGTATAAGAAAGATAATCTAGAATTCCTCTGTTTTCGTTAGAATCAATTTTCTTATTGAACAAGGAGTTATCTCCAATTCCACAATGTATTGTCGATACAAATAGTTTCACTCTAAACGTATCAATAAAAAAATCCTTTCCTACATGAAGAAAAATGTGATAATTACAAAAACATATTTCTTGCTTGCAAAGGGGATCGGTATTGCTTTCTTCAAAAACAAAGAAAAGATTATTTATTTGCATTGATATTCAGTACAGTTCATTTCCATGGTCGGATCGGGGATTCTGAATTTTATCTAAATTTTTTGTCACAAGATCGTGAAGTTTTACATACGCATTTCGCATAAAGCGACAAAGATTTATCTGATTTTGCAACTCATCAGAATCAAACTCTATGACAGCCATTTTGTAATCATTGATTTCTGGATATTTTATAATTTTAGAAATCATCCTTGCCCTGTAGAAAAAATAATCCGTTCCCGATTCTCTCAGAGACTTTGCCTTCAGTTCAATACATGAGGCTTCTTCCATTACTGCTTCTTGCACAGACACCCCGAAATTATTTCCGTCTTGAATTTTCGGAATCAAGAGAGTAATCCACATTTTTATATCACATGAACTATTGACAAGGTCATCAATATAGGGCTTCAGTTTCTCTATTACTTCCAAAAGAACCTGATTTGAGCCTATGACATTTTCAACAATTTCTGATGCTTGCAGGCGCAAGGAAGAGTTACTTCTCGTTGAACTGTTTCCAAAACGGTTTATTAAAACTGTTCCAATGTTTAATTCTTCCTTTCTTTCAGAATTTGTTTTAGACACCTTGAGATTTTTTATTTCGCGATACATTTTATCCACTTCAACAAACTTGGCCGGAAGGATATCTGTCGCTAATCGTTGACCTTCAGAGATTAATCTAGCTTTGTACTCACAAATTGGATCAAAAGTATCCAATTTAATATCCATCTTAGATCTTTCTGTTTAAAAATACGACGGGTCCACATGTGTATCAAAATTATTTCAACATAGTATATAATTACATAATTATTGAAAGATATATGTCTCTCAGTTTGAATGTTACCATTCGTAAATAATATAAACAAAAGAAAAATAAATCAAGCATTAATTGCATGTTATTTTTCGATATAAAACAATAAGATATTAAACTTACTGTTATTAAGCACCTATCTTCTATGCTCGTGTGAGCAGTTTACACAATTTTTAGCTAGAGGAAATGAAAAACATATTTACATTTCCTGTCATACAAAAAGAATAAGAAAGAAAAAATAACGGTTCAAGTGTGTAGGAAAACTGTTCAAACTACAACCAAACGCAGCAAAACACGGGATTATGAATACCGGTATTGTTATCAAAGTGCTCCCTGTTCTCAGAATTGCGTATATTTTCGTTCCAAACTACAAGCAAAGAAAGACCTTATGAATTCCAATACCACAGTAATAACTTTTTTTAAAAAATGAAGTATATAGAATATTTAACTACAAGTGAACTCTTTGTGCAAAGAATGTTTAACAGTATAAACGGTTAATTAAAATCAACAACTTTCCAATACCACAGCAATAACTTTTTTTTAAAAAATGAAGTATATAAGCATGCTTTTCGTAATATGTACAATTCCTAAAACTAAGTAAATTATTGACAAACAAGTTAATTGAAGAAACAAGAATTTCAGCAGTCTTGTTCAAAAATCATCATTTCATACGTTCTATGGTCTATACAGTGACATTGTCAACAAAAACAATTTATCATTGAGCCAAATGCTGACAGGTTTTTCATACTTATTCTTAGTTCATTATTTACACACTGAATATACAACGGATTTTTCGTTATATCCCGATCATGGCAAGGAGCACACAGCGAGTAGGACCAATAGGCACGGAGATGCTCTTTCCTCCATGGCACCTTGTCTCACCCCTGATGTTTTGAAGGTCTGTGTTAGCTCTGCTCCTATTTTTTATTGGTTCATGGACTTTTTAGCTTGAATACTGTTGCTCTCTCCATATATCCCTTAAAATATTGAACGGAGTCGATTTATACCTACAAGAATGAACCCCGGTTAATATTCTACTGGGGTCAGTTTTTTCGTCGTTACTATTGCTCGTGCATCAGCGCTATCACAAGATTTCAAGCTAGATGTCTAAACCTTCAGTGCAATGGAGTTAAAAAATTGATAATTGTGTATCAAGATTGGTAAATTTAGTATTAACGAATTTTGTTTCATAAACAGCTCCCTTTTATTTTTTTTCCACGTATTTCCAAGTTAAAAAAAGACATAATTAAAAAAATCGGGATATAAAAAAGGGTTGATAATGATAAAATTTACCACAAACTATGACAAAGCACGCAGGGTGTTATGGAATTTGATCACTTGACCAACTTGTATCTATATCCCGAAAATGATACCTTTTTACTAATACTTACACTTGTGACTGATTTAAAATACATTTCTTAAATTTCGCATTTTTTACATATAAATGTGATTTTCAAATCTCAACGGCATTAATTTGATTCACTGAAGGCGCACCTACCCTTTATGACGTCACTGAGATATTGCGTCGAACGTTTAAAAAGCGAGAGGCTTGTGTTTATACGGTGATAGATATGCGTTGCCTAAACAGTGTTATATAACAGAAAACATTTGCAAATGCACATTTTACATAATAATTCAAAATATTGTCTTTGAATTTAAATAAAGAATATAATAAATTACTTATAACTTACGCATGTCTTGTTTTGGTATTATAGAATCTAAATCTTGAAATAGTAACGAGATTTTATCAGATCGGAAGTTAATATACATTGTTTTTGATCATGTTTTATAGAAAGTTTATGTAAATGAGAAAACTTACTTGGATTTATAATAAGAGCAAATGCCTTCATGTTGTTATTAGCACAGATGCGCGCAAGATCCACAGAGTGACAGCCAAAATATATGCAAAGAAATAAACAACAGTTTACAGACAAGACAATTAGTTTGTTTATTATACTTTTTAAGCGATCGCATTTTGATACATGTGTCAACAATGGCACATACATGTTCACAAAAAGTAAAATAGTATAAATTAATAGTTTTTTTAAGCTCAAAATAATCTTTTAATACACCAAAGCGTGATAAAAGTTCGTAATGTTATTCCTCTGAGAATTCTCAAACTCATCAATGCATTGTATCAATTATAACATTTTGTACATGTACAATGTAGACCGTTAAAAATAACGGGTGTAAAATATCTACTATAAGACAAATATTAAAATGAAAAATTTAATTTTACCCGGTAATTGAAATATCAATACATTAGAAATAAATTTTTATAACACGACATTCGTTTCTATTCGAGGAATATTTGAAGATCCTTCTGTAAAAGGTCATATCATAAACATGATTTGAATGTCCATCTTTGTTATTTTAAGTTAAACAGGTCGAGGAAACTATTTTCTGTGACGTCGGAATAAATTTACATGTTAAGTGAGGAACCAACGTGACTGTCAAATCGACCAATCAGCTCAATGAGTTGCATTATGAGTTACTACAAAAAATACTACATGTGTGTTTCGAAAAGGTCAATTTTTAAAATCGCTCTCGGAAATACGTGATGCATTTTTCAAAGCATTTTACACAATTAATACAATATGTACATTATTATCTACTAATCCCATGCTCACATTTACATACAAATGATTAGCAATGATTTGAATTGTACAAGTCCGTTTGTTATTGCTGTATTGTCAGTGAAAAGTCAAGTTCACGTGTCCTGTTAAAGTTGAATTGTTACTGTTTACAACCGAAACATATATACTTTACTCAGTACAAGTTCTATGATCAATGCACATGAGAATTAATACTAGTATATAGGTAAACAATAAAAAAAACCGTGCAAGTTAAACACTTTATATGAATGCATTAACTTTGAAAATCTACAAATAACTGAGCAATTACTAATATAACCAGTCACATGGCAAATTTACGAATATCAAGTTAAAAAATTTACTTGTAAAGACTTTGTGAGTGGTATTTAAAAGTACTATTTAACAAGAAAAACTGACTTTGTTTGTTAATGTGAGCACGGGACATCTTAATTAGTACCTATTCTTCGTATTTTTCACAAACACGTTTCAAAAAATTGTAAGTTGACTTTCCTGAAGTCATTTGAAATTGCGTCTTAAATTTCCCTATCCCACGTGTTTGTTGTAAAAATAAACATGTAGTAGAACATCATGCTTTTCGGCTCATTCACTGGATTGGACCATTGTTCGTTGTGAGCACCTTAGTGCGCAATGACAACAATATCCATATAAGGTAGTTTCCTCGACCTGTTAAAGTTGAATGCGTTAGGGTTAATAGTTCGTCTCAATGAAAAACAAAGATGCTATAATTTTTTACCTAAAAAAATACTTTAGTAAACTATAGTTAACTATAGTTAACTATAGTATATGTACCAAAGTTAATACTTTTGAACTTTGATTTACTATAAAGAAGACTTTGGAACTTTGATTTACTCTAGTAAAAACTTTGGAACTTTGATTCAGTAATATAAATCCCTTGAAATTATGTTTTTGCTCTTCATTCTGTGCATTTTATGAAATTTCAAGGTAAATATTCATTAAAGCTTCAAAGAACGTTTTAAAAACCCGACCTGTCCCCGAAAAGAATAATGTACAATAAATGAGTTTTAATGTAAAAGTTGTCTCTTGCGCCGATAAATAAGCAATGTTTATCTAAATCTATTTATTATAATTTCAATGTTGTGCAGATTAAACGTAAGTATTATTAATGGAGAAAAACATAATATACTATGAAATAAAATTTGCGTCATTTAGAATTAAAATATTTGCTTCATCAACTTCAGTCAACCTGTTTTTTTTTCTACCGTTAAATGTATGTATTACATTTGAATTAATTATTTTGTTTATTTAAGTTAAGATTAACACAAAAAAGACCCAAGCTAACCCAAGATCAACCCCCTTAAAACAATTCAATAATCAAAAAACTTATATTAAGATACATAAGTTATTAAAGTAATTTAAAAAGTTCAAAAACTTTGAATAACTTTATTAAAAACTTTGGAACTTTGATTTACTATGGTGAAAACTTTGAAACTTTGATTTACTATGGTGAAAACTTTGGAACCATCATAATGGTGAAAACTTTGGAACTCTGATTTACTATGGTGAAAATTTGGAATTATGATTTACTATTGTCAATTATAGCTAACTGTAGTAAACTATAGTTAACTTTAGTATACAATAGTATTTTTTGTTAGGGATAGGGCTTTGAATCGCAAATATATATTGAAGACTTCAAATAGTGGAATGACCTGACATCCGTTTAAGGAAAACTGTACTTTGAGAAGACCGATCTAGTATTTTTTTAAAAAAAATAGATTGATGATTTCAATCAGCAATTTGCTTCCTTATAAATGTGGATGGACATCGACGAATTATTATAAAGACGAGAGAGAGAGAGAGAGAGAGAGAGAGAGAGAGAGAGAGAGAGAGAGAGAGAGAGAATTATTACCCGAATCTTGATAAATTCAAGATAAGAAAGCTAAAGTATAATAGAACGACTATATGATTTTAATTCAGTGCTTAGGCTTGAATGTCCAGCATTACCGCCCAGTACATTCAAGCAAAAATAGGACAAGATGGCAAATCCATCACGCGATTAAACAATATTATTGGATTTATCAAAGTTCAAGGCATCGGAATCCTGGTTCAACAAAAACTAGCATCATAATGATTAAAGTCAAAAGATCATCACTATTAATGGTGACAAGACCAGCATTTTTTGTGACATATTTGATTCGTAATTCTTCACTTTGAAACCATCCGCGACTAAGAGTTTTCCCAGTTAAAGACACATTTATTAGACAGTAGATAAATGGCTTACGACAAGGTTAATTGAAGAGTAAAAAAGTTGTGATATCTGTCGACATTTTTCGTAAAGCATAAAAAAAAG